TCCTCTCAGCAGCACACACTGCTCCAGGTTGGTTCTTCCATGCTCTGAAAGTACCTTCATGCTCCTTGGGCACAGCTCGTCTCATCTGAACTCACACCTCTGTAATGACAACACCCACACTTGAGCTGATCACCTTTCTCTGCTCTGGCAGTCAGCAGGGCTGGACCATCAGTTGTGACGTATGCATGGTGTGGTCTGTTTTAAATGTAGCTTTAGACTAAGAGAAACGACCCCTCCAGTCCCCTTCTCCAGACAGAGCAGGTCTCCATCATCCTGTGCTCTCCACGTCTGCTCAGACAGACCTCTGTCTTGATTTCCAGAACTGCTCCTTGAAGCAGCTGTTTGCTCATTATCCCATGCTTGGACATCCCAGTAGAGAGAGTGTGCAGTGGAAGTATTGCAGCATGGAGCCACTGCTGGAACAGTGGGATGTTAATCAAAGGCATTCCCAGCACAGTGAATCCCAACCAGAGCGGTGTGCACACTCAGGGCTGGATCTCTTTGGCACACTGAAGGGGAATGAAAAATTGAGATCAACATTGCAAACAGCACCCTAAGGAGTGGGCTGGGTTTCTTACTGGCAGGGAGTCCACGCTTTCACAGAATACACCCAAAATATTGTTATTGTGATTTAACCACTGCTCACAAGGAAAAGCCATTGCCTCTGGGCTTCTGTGGGGTAGGAGGAGCCTGGGGGGTTTCCCCATAGCTAAACTGAACTGCAGAGATACTGCTGGTCCCAGCTATTACCACAGGAGGCTATTTTTCCTTGTGTAGGCTCAGCATAAAGCTTGAATAAGACCAGGAGTACATGGTCCTGCCTTAGCTTTTGGGACAAACTGAATTTCCTCTGTTTAGAGCATTTTGTTCTGTGAGGTCCAACTGATGCACAGATGAACCTGCTCTCCTCCTACCCCCTGCCAAAGTACATAGAAATAACAACTGTCAGACTCAGAACAATACCAGTTTGCTGTAGACACAGACCCTAAAATTCTTCTCAGCCATCCAGCTCCTATTTTATGTAAACATCTCTGTTTCCATGTTCTAGGATGTTTTTATTCTTTGGTAGGCAATCCTGATGTAAAGCTCCCTGCCTTTCCTGGCCAAGTTTATCCCCTGATGCTCAGGGTTGCTCAGCTTACTGTGATTCTGGCAAAGCACAGAGCTGGCTGAGAAGCACCTGAATTAAGTAGCCTCAAGTCAGAGATTTTATTTAGTGCTCAAGCAGATATCATGGGTAAAGACATAGTTACTAATGACTAGGACAGTGTCCTCTACCTGAATCCCTTCAGGTGCATTCTGCCCTGTTGAGTCCACCCCTGCTCCCAGAACTTATGGGATCTTTGCTTTCCTGTTTCTGCTTTTATCCCGAGGGTGTGAATGGAGGATATCCACTGCAACAGCAGCTTTGGGGCCATGCAAGCAGAAATAATCTGAGCCCACCCCACAATCTCATTCCAGAGAGAGAGTTGTCAGGCCATGTCAAGCTGGTCCACAGTGAAATCAATGATGGACTCCAGGAGGGCTCTGGATACACAGTCCCACAGTTATTTGTTCTTGTAGGAAACACTCTTCTAGCTAAACAAGATTATGCTTCAGAGGGTGACCTTCAGTTCCCCCCTTCAAAGTTTAAAGATATGCCAAAATGTAGAAGCTGTGTCTGCTTCAGTGCTTCATGTGTTAGCAGTAACTGGTCTATAACCTGGAGATGCTCCCCAAAAGACAGGTTAAGTCAACCCTTTTCCTTCTGCTCCACGGTAGCTTACCCACCAATCGCTTTCTCCCTGCCTGGCACAGAGCTGGAGTATTCCTCACCTCTGTGGACTTCAGGCATGGTTGGCTGGGATTGAGCAGGGAAAGGAGTCAATTTACAGTACAGCTTTTTTGCTTTAGATCTTACAAACCATGTAGAAAATGTGTGTGATATTCATAAACATGATTCTCTGTACTGCCTAGAGCCAGGCAAGATGAATAAGACAAGAGCAGAGACTGAAACAGCAATACCTTCATATTCATGAATTTTAATGTCAGAAGGGACCGTTCTGGGCTGAGCTCCTGTGCATGCAGGCTCCCCAGACTTCCCCCTCTGACCTCTGTATTGAGCCCACTAACTTCCATTGTCCTAAGACATGTCTTTCAGCCTTTGAGTCTGGATTTAAAGCTGCCAAGGGATAGAAGCTTCCTTGCTTCCCTTGGTACCATTCCCAATGATCCATCACACCCTGTTTAGAATGTAGGCTTTGTTTCCCATTTGAGTTTGCTTGGCATATGGCTCACAGCTATCAGCTCTGATGATGACTTACTGTTAGACCTAAGAGCCCTTTCAGATCAGCAGCTTCTGCTTGAAACAGTATTTGTGCACTATGGTCAACTTTTTGGTCTTTTTTTTTGTGTGTGTGTGGTGGTGTGACAATAATTAGATTTAGACTTCCTAGTCTCCCCCATAAGACATTTCCTCCAGCCCTCAGATCCTTGCTAGTGGATCTATTCTGCACCATCTTTTTCTGACACCTTTATGCCACCCCAGAGGTGCACACAGTGTTCCTGGGGCTCATCACTGACACACAGAGAGGTTGGTATTCCTCTTTAGGTTTGTGTCAGACAATGGCAGGAGCACTCCTGAGTGACTGCTTTCTAGGACACAACATCCCATTGTCAGGCATGTTCTGCATCCCTTGTGCAATTTTGTTCTTGATACAATTAAAATACAGTCTATTTGGAAGCACATTGGCTCTAATACTGATCCCTGTAAACACTCATTAGAAATATCTCCTTCAACATCAGTGTCCCTCAGATGGCTCCTTTTAGAGACTTGCCAGCCAGACTTCTGCTAAGCCATTTTAATGTATGTACTACAGACATTATGCATCTTCCTACCACAGAACCCTATGAAAGTCAAACCTTATCAAAATCTAATTACATTATCTTACAACCATGCAGGCAGCTTTATCAAACAAACTTAGAATCATGCCAACTAACAAAATCAAATTTGGAAGCACCTGTTTTATATACAAGTGCCACAGCTAAGATTAATATTAGGCCTATTCTTCAGTGCTTAATTAATTGAAGTCTGTATCAGATTTTCCATTATTTTGCCTAGAATCTATGTCAATCAGCTAGTGAGTATTTACGAGGCTCATCGTTGTGTATCTTGGCTGACTATTGGCACAGTGCTCCAGTATTTGGGACCTGCCCCAGTGCTCCAGCACAGATTATAAATGAATATCAGTGGGCCAGCAATTTACTCAGCCAGCTCTTTAAGGACTCTTGGGTACGGCTGTTTAGCCAAGCTGATTTCGGACTGTTTATCTGTAGCAGATGGTGTTTCCAATTCTCCTTGTTTACTGATGAGCAGAAGGCACTTCATTGTCCCCCACAGCCCGTCCTATGGGCATCCCCCCTGCCATCAGCCAGGTACTGACTGCCAAATGCTTTGACCTCTTCTGTAGGATGGCAGTTGACTTGGTAGTGGACATCAGTAGAGGGAAATGGTGAAGTCAACTGTCATGCAGCAGGAGAGGTCCTTAATGCATTGCTTATGCAGATATCATTCCTAATGGGAGAGACACCCCAGCAGACACTCAACTGCATGATTTCTCCCTGAGGTTGACATTCACCTGAAATTTTATTCCCAGGCCCAGCAGAACTTGAGATACACCCATTTGACCTCATTCAGCCCTACAGCTGCAAACTCAAGCCTCCCTGCTTCTCTGCCAATGTGTTCCAGCCTTGTTCTGTCCTATTTTCTGCCAGTACAGGCATCTCTATTAACTAAAGATTTCACAAAGACAATATTTTGTGATGTGTCAGGTTGAAATGAATGAGTGCACAGAGGTCAATTTTTTCATGAGTGAAAGGTTAATGCTGCACTGTACACGATGAGGTTTATTTTTGGCATTTTCTTGTGCCAGTGAGGCTATTTAATCGACTTTTCTGCAAGGTCAATAGGCGTAAACTCGAATGTTCCCTGTCAGCTGAAGTCAGCTGGGATCTTTCTAGATCATAGGAGTTAAACAGCCAATATTTGGACAGGTGACCTCGAAGGAAACACCAGTGATTCAGTAGGTGTGGTCCTTCCTTCTGAGTCAGTGCTGAAATGCAATGCCAAATGATGGTGTGCTGCTGGAGGACATGATTTTATTTGAGATATTAAAACCAACTTGAGCATTTGTGGCTATTTAAAATCTCATTATATGATACTGGATGATAATCCATTTAGGATTAATTTAGCTGGCCTTCCTATATTGCTTCTGCCATTCAGTGTCAGAAGGATGCTCCTTTCTTTTCCCGGAGCTTTCAGAACTAGCAGGCTGCTCTGACTAATTGAGGGATCCTAAAAGGATATTTTTAGGGTGGAGTTAAGGTGCCCAGAGTTGCAACCTGTGGATTTCTTGTATCAGTTCAGGATCCATTTGCAGTTCAGGCTATGTATGTGAGAGTATTTTCACCCAAGCATTATAACCTTTGATTTTTCCAACATTTAGAGGGCAGATTTCTCTTCAGAGTATTTTAAGGTACACAAAATGCATCCAACCATCTGGCCAAAAAGCCAGTGCTGGCTTGGATGGGGGATGCTGATGAGGGGCAGCTCCAGTTCTGAGGCCAAGGCTTAGTGGATACAATGGTCCCTCTTGAGCAAACACATAATACCTGTGAAGATCTATCGAAAAATTGTCTTTCTGCTCCACGGGGAAGACTGAACCACAAGAGAGAGAATGGCAGAGCAATGCAATAAGTGATCTATAATAACACTTCAGTCTGTTGTACATAGCAGAGTATCTCATTTATTTGCCTCACGGACTCATTTCCTGAAGCAAGAGGCACTTTGAGGCAGCGTGCATCCCCAAGGACTGGCTCTCACTGCCAGCCACATGTAGGAGGCTTAGGGGGTGGCTGAAAGCGTTGCAGTGCCCCACAGCAGCATCCACAGTGCTCTGCTCCCTCTCGACACGCAGAGCTCATAAATCCTTTCTCCTTGTGTTGTTTCTTGCAGGTAAACTATGACCACTTTACTATTAGTGTTTGTGTGTTTGCGAGTCCTCACCGCAGCGGTCTCTGGGGAGCTCTCAGGTACGTGCCCCGGGGTGCAGGGTGGCAGGGCTGAGCCACGTGCTGCACTCTGGTCCCATCCCCAGAAATGAGTGTACCCAAGATCTGCTCCGTGCACCCACAGGGCTCCTCTATTCGGACGACTGCTATGCCATAGACTCTTACTGTTCTCATGTTTGGGGCACCAGGCAAAGGCAGATTTATGGGGAAACCAATGGGAGCTACCAGCATTCCCCATTTTAAACCCTATCAGGTGTGATTTCATAGCACGGGCAGCAGCTACACCACATTAGACCACTTCATTCCCACACCCAGCACCTGATCCAAATCCCAAAAGCAACCATGGCGCAAGGGTCATGGTTGTAATTTCCCCTTCTGTGAGTTATTTTCATCAGGCTAGACCAAAATGGGTACATCTGAATACGTAGGTACAGATTTGCAAGGCAGGTGTAGGTGTTGGAGCATATGGAAACCCCGGATCCTTTGGATTAAATGTGTTATTGTGTTTGTTTGGGAACTGGCAGACAGTAGTGATGGCCTGGAAGTGAAGATACCTGAGCAGTCTCCCCTGCGTGTTGTCCTGGGAAGCTCCCTGAACATCCCGTGTTACTTCAACGTCCCAGAGGAAGAGGACACCAGTGCTCTTCTGACCCCACGGATCAAATGGAGCAAGCTCTCAAACGGGACCGAAGTTGTCTTGCTAGTGGCCACGGGTGGGAAAATCCGTCTCAACGCCGAGTACAGGGAGGTGATCTCTTTGCCCAATTACCCTGCCATCCCCACCGATGCCACCCTGGAAATCAAGGCGCTGAGGTCCAACCACACTGGGATTTATCGCTGTGAAGTGATGTATGGGATTGAGGACAGACAAGACACAATAGAGGTCCTAGTGAAAGGTGAGACCCTGCCCTTGCTCGTTCAGCTCAAGATCTTGCTGCCAAGCCTGAGCAGAAGGGAGGAGGAAGAAAAAGGGCAGAGGAGATGCTGCACTCCCCATTGGCATAAACCCTTTCAGTGGGGTCATGATAAGGCAGTGGGTAGGTGAGCAGATGCCACGGGCCAGGCATTTATTTTAGCAGGCTAGGATCAGACTAAACAAACCAGTAAAATGAGTCAGGGCAGAATATATGGTAATAAAAATGATTCTTTTGGCAGAAGGTGAGTTACGGAGACAGTGAGACGACATCCTTGGCAGGAGGTGGTACTGGATACACTGAGCTATTGCTCAGAGGGGTGAGGTTGGAACAGGGCTGTTATAAGACCTTCTATTTCTTCCAAACATTTTAAGAGATGGGATGCCCTCAGCTGGAGAGTTGGTCTGCTCTAGTAGAACTTTCCCCATCTCCTTGCAAAACCCATCCTAGTAATATGTGGATAAAATAACAAAAGTTTCCTGCAATCCTTATCTTTACTGTGGATTTTGCTTTCAGTGTAGGACAGGGAGACAGCTTCCACTAGAACAGTTAACCAGGAGGTCCCTGCAGCTCACACGCCCAAGTACATACCTGACAGTGGAGGCTGGGAGCTCCCTCGTTGCCTCCTGGTGGATTTTCCACTTGCCTTAGAGCCCCCATGTGCTGGACTGGAGTGTACCAATAGCCATCCTTTACAAAGATCCCAGCTCACCAAAAAAAAAAATAAAATTTAGATACATTTGCAGCAGATCTGGAGATTTTTAATGTATATGCCTCTGGTTATTGTTTCCTGGATGTTCATATAATGTTCAACCCTCTGCACTGTTGGTCCTGAGCAGGAGCCTGGGGGGTGGCAGCTTTCAAAGCTGCACAGCCACACAGCCCCTGCTCTGCCCCACCATCTGATCTCTGAACTGTGCATTTAAAACACTGCCTGGAGCTGTGTCAGGAAAGTCCTGAGTCCTCCTGATGGTGACAGAGCTCTGTGTTCTGCGATGGGTTTCCTCCCACTGTTCACACCATTATTCTGGTACTGGCTTTTAAAGCACCATGCCCTTATTGCTGCACCATGGGAGAACAGTCATTCTCCTAAGTCACCAAGGTGCTCCACAAGGTCCTGTGAAAGGAGGAGCCAAGCCACCCTTGGCCTCAGATTCTCAAATACAGACAATCTGTGTAAATATTTCATTGTTTCTAGTTGACATGTAGTATCTGTTCCTTAAACTTGTAACTTGTTTGGAAGGAAAGGGTTTGACTGCTCTATAGCAGACATCTGACTCATGCCCATTGTGTTTTCCAGGCATCGTATTCCACTACAGAGCAATCTCCACAAGGTACACCTTGAACTTTGAGAAAGCAAAGCAGGCCTGTATCCAGAACAGTGCTGTCATTGCTACTCCTGAGCAGCTGCAAGCTGCCTACGAGGATGGGTACGAGCAGTGTGACGCTGGCTGGCTGGCTGATCAGACTGTCAGGTAATGAACGGTGGAGGGGAGAGGAAAGCCACAGCAGGGACATTAGGGCAGCACTTCTGTAATGAAACCACCAACAGAAAATGGTTGAGAAACAGATGCTGAACAGGAGCTGTTGTAATTGCTGGTGTACAGATGGAGGTGGTGGATTGCAAGTCATTTTCTGCTGGGGGGGTGTCTATAGTAGAAAGCAGAGTGACGACCGTCCTCTTCAGCTGGCAGTGACAGCTGAGTAGACAGTGGCTTGATCCTGATCCTTCATCCTCCCTGAACAAAACAGATGCCCTGCCAAGATGCACGAGTGTGGCTCGGCTGTATGGAGCTGGGTACTCCCCCACTGATGCCTTTGGCTGGTGCTCCCAGGGACCTGTTGTGCTCAGGAGCACCTGAGGGAGGGCAGGACACCAGATCATCCTTCCCCTTCCCTATAACTCAGCAAAAGCCATAATACCTGACACTGCAGAGTGCTCCAGAGCTGCCTCACAGCCTGGCTGCAGCTGCCAGGCTCTTGCTCCACCACTCCTGACACACCCTCTCTCCCAGGTACCCCATCCACTGGCCCCGGGAACGCTGCTATGGTGACAAGGACGAATTTCCAGGAGTGAGGACCTACGGTGTCCGTGAGCCAGATGAAACTTATGATGTTTACTGCTATGCAGAGCAAATGCAAGGTGATTTGGGGCTTTTCTTCTTACTAGATGCAGAAAGCTCTGATCGTGCCCAGGCTGGGCAACAGTAAATACAAAGCAAAGGCAGGTTACAGATGGAAAAGCACATACCCCAGCAAGGCCCCAGACTCTACAGTCTCTCTGTTAGACCTTGGACAATTTTAATGTCAAATGACTAATGCAGTACAGAGGGTGGAGTCTGTCAAAGCTCCACCAGAGTCCATGCCATCCTGCCTGTCTCTGGTCACACATTCAGAGGTGTCCATCACCCACGCTTATGGCAGGCATCCATTGAAATGGTCAGCACATCAGGACTGAAATTGTGCTTTATTTTCCTCTTGCCACATGACTCCAGCTGGTTTGGTATGTTTTGCTTCAGTCTGTATTTGGTCTGTAAGTCTCCCTTTCTTCTGGTCTCTACAGACAATCACCAACATGGAGTTACAGTACAGCTGTAAAACACAGGAAATTTCGTCTTACCCAGACTCTCAGGAGTGGGAAGGGGAGAGAAAGGGAATCAGGGTTAAATTCTACAACTAATTCCTGCGCTAACAGATGATGTAATCGCAGGTAAAGTCTTCTACGCCACCGCCCCCGAGAAGTTCACCTTCCAGGAGGCTTTTGACAAATGCCGCAGTTTGGGAGCCCGTCTGGCCACCACGGGGGAGCTGTACCTGGCCTGGAAGGAGGGCATGGACATGTGCAGCGCGGGCTGGCTGGCCGACCGCAGCGTCCGCTACCCCATCTCCAGAGCACGGCCCAACTGCGGAGGGAACCTGGTGGGCGTGAGGACCGTGTACCTGTACGTCAACCAGACGGGGTACCCACACCCCGACTCTCGCTACGATGCCATCTGCTACGGCGGTGAGTGCCCCAGGGCTGTGGGGCTGAGCGATCTGTCTCCACACATCAGTTATCAGAGAGAACCTCTTGCATCTAGGGTTTTTTTTATGAAAAAAAAAAGGTGGGGAGAAAGCTGATTTAGCAATAGACTTGGTCCTCTGTTGGTGTTCAGGTAGCAGAGCTAGAAAGTGCCCAGGTGCCTGACCTGTACGGGGCAGGGGAATCTGAGGAGATGGGTGTGATACAACCCTCTTCCCTCCAGTCCACCCACAACTTCCAGCCTTGGTAGCTCTCCTGGAGATGTGGAGTAGAGCTCAAGTGCTTCGTGTACAAGACTTTCAATAGTGGAGATAGAAGAGAAGAAAAAAGAGAACAAGTCTGACTCTGAAGATGAGTATAGTGCTGTGATGTGGTACAGACATGTGCCTGAGTTTCCATGCTGGGATAAATCAGAGTCTGCAGCAGTTGCTAGCAAACAGAAATAGGGTAAAATTGCACCTAGAAAGTCAAAAGCATCCTGGCTACATCTCCTGTCTTCTAAATGCACATTTCTCTCTGCAGCAAGAAGGGGGCAAAGCACAGTGGTATATGGTCTGTTCAGGTCAGCCAGAGGCTTTCTCCTCTGACTTCAAATAGGATTACCATCTTTAAGAAAACAATATTTTAAAATGTGTTTTGATACAGATTGATACAGATTTATTGTGTCCAGATGCATGCCTGATCAGTGTGTCAGGAGGCCCTGTAAAACCTCCCACACCCCTTGGAGGTATTCAGTTATACAGGCAAGCTAACGACTGGTCCATCAGGCCACAGCTTTCTGTTTATCTCAGGGTATGCATCTGAAACTGCTGAGTACAGCTAGTCCTTATCTGAACATCTCTACCTAATTCTTTGAATCCCTTGAAGCCTGAGAGGTACTGGCTAAAATGAACTAGCAGGGAAATGGAATTGGAAATAAGTAGAGCAGGGAAAGCAGTATTAGGGGAAAAACCTGAGAGTGTTTCATTATCCCTCCCAAGCCAAGACCTGCTTTGCTGCATGTCCAAGATGTTAAATCCCTCCCTCACCTGCTGTTCCTTAAGCCACCGTCCTTGCTATAGGCTGACCTGCTCAGTAGCATGTTAAGCCTGTTCTCCTACAACCAAGGGATGTGCCTTGAGCAGAAAAGTGATTTGGGAAGGCAAAGGCAGGAGCCGTTTGAATGTATTTGGTGCAGCAAGTGGCCCTGGTTGTCCTGGTGATGATGGGTGTCCTGGGTTAGCATGCTGATACGTGAGTTGCTCTGAAGTCGTCCCCTGGGCAGAGCAGAAGGAGATCATGATCATGCTGAGAGTTCATGGACCAAGTGTGAGGATCCAGTTGTCTTTCTCCCACGGTTCAGAGCTGCTGTGGAGGTTGCCCAAGCTCCCCTACTTCTCCCCGGCCACCTTAAATTCTTTGCGGCAGGCACTAGAGGTCAGTGCAGACTTGGATATGAGCTGGGGTATGAGCAAGGTGTTCCCGGGAAGGAGAGCAGGAAAGGTCCTCTCATCCACGGGCTGTGGAGCATGCAGTGCCTCGTTGCCCCTGCTTCGAGAACACGCCCCCGGCGCTGAGGTGTAGTACAGAGCCATAGCGGAGGAAGCAAAACCATTTCTGTCAGCAGCCCGTCCTGATTTCCCTGCTTCTCTCAGAGCTAGGAAACACCCAGCTTCTTCGTGCAGGCATCACCATCACCTGCCAGACTGACCATGTGCTCTCTGCTTGCTGCTTTGTCTCCTGATGTAGGGGATGACGTTGAGAGCCTTGTCCCCGGGCAGTTCATCGATGAGACGGGAGGGGAGCTGGGCAGCGCCTTCACTGTCCAGACTGTCACCCAGACTGAAGTGGAGTTACCTCTGCCACACAATGCCACGGAGGAGGAGGCTCGTGGCAGCATCGCCACCCTGGAGCCCATTGACATCACGCCCACCACCACCGAGCTGTATGAGGGCTTCAGCGTCCTGCCCGATCTCTTCCCCACCAGCATCACGGTAGAGGCAGCTTCCCCAGAGGAGCAGAACGTGACCAGGGGGGATGTCACAGAGGTGTGGCCTGCACCTGCAGAGGTGACCACCATAGCCTTAGGCACTACCTTCACCACGGAAACAGCAGAGGTGAGCTCGGTGGCAGAGGTCGTGGGGGTGACTGCCACACCAGGACCAGAGTCTGCCTCAGCCTTCACAGTGGAAGATCAGCTGGTGAGAGCGACGGCAGCCCCCGGTGTCGGTCTGCTCCCTGGACAGCCCATCTCCCCCACCGGTAAGTCACCGAGACTGCAAGAAGCCAGAAGATCAGTTTCTCCTAGAGGTAACCATTCAGCTGAAAACAGCCTGAACACCTGCCATCACAGAGGGCGTTCAGGCCCCTGGAGGTGTGGGGGGCTGTTTGGGGTCAGGGACAGGCTGAGCACTTCCCCTGTGGTAGGACAGAGGTGGTGAGGAGGAGGCTGTGAGCCACCCCATTACATGCTGGGAAGGGCTCAGCTGGTTGACGCTGGGGACTGCAGTGGTCACACTCTGTACTGCCACGTGGAAGATCCTACAGGAGGGCTAAAGAGATCCTCAGAACACAACCCTCAATGGCAGCAGAGTTCAATGAATGAGGCATCTCCTTCAAAGCATTTTTGGCAGGCACTGGTCCTTGCACCGTTGTTGGGATAGACCCTTTCTGGTCACGCATCCCAGTGGAGGGAGGGTCCCGTATCAGCTGTCTCACAGCTTCTCTCCCCCCAGGCGTGGTGTTTCACTACCGTGCTGCCACCAGCAGATACGCCTTCTCCTTCGTCCAAGCCCAGCAGGCCTGCCTGGAGAACAACGCCGTTATTGCCACCCCCGAGCAGCTCCAGGCTGCCTACGAGGCTGGCTTTGACCAGTGCGACGCCGGCTGGCTGCGGGACCAGACAGTCAGGTAAAACTATACTGGCTTGGGGAAGATACCTCTCAACATGGCTATTCAGCCACAGAATTGAGGCTTTACTCTGGCCTGCCCCGCCGCTCTGCTCGTCAGCACCTAAAGTCTTCCTGACCTAAGTCTGTCTCCAGGCCATGGTGCCTTGTGGCCTTGTTCTACCTATTTCCTAATGTGTATACATCCTACAGTCATGAGCTCCCTTGGCATGTAGGAAAAGTGGATGGAAGTTTGTATTCATTGCCCTGGGCTTTAAATGGAGGTGTTTCCAAGTCATGCTGGGGCGGGGCAGGGGGGCGTCCAAACACATCTAATGGTGAAGTATTTGTGTCATGCTCCCAGGTACACTGAGGTTCTTCAGTTTAGGGGACTTTAGGCTGACCTTGTGTCACCTCCTCTCTTCTTCTTTTGGCAGGTATCCCATTGTGAATCCCCGAAGTAACTGCCTAGGAGACAAAGAGAACTCTCCAGGCGTGCGGTCCTACGGCATGCGCCCGGCCTCGGAGACCTACGACGTGTACTGCTACGTCGACAGGCTTAGGGGTATGTTCTCCTCCTTCTGGGCACAGCTGTGGGGCAAAAATGTGCTTCTCACCTCCATCTGCGTGTGCACGGGTGGGACGCGGGGACTCACGCCTCTTTCCCCCCCATCCCTCAGGTGAGGTGTTCTTCGCGACCAAGCCAGAGCAGTTCACCTTCCTAGAAGCTCAGCAGTACTGTGAGAGCCAGAACGCCACGCTGGCCTCCGTTGGGCAGCTCCACGCTGCCTGGAAGCAGGGCCTGGACAGATGCTATGCGGGCTGGCTAGCTGACGGCAGCCTCCCGTCCCCCATCACGGGGGGGACGCGCCCGGCGTGAGAACCATCTACCAGCGCTCCGACCAGACGGGCTTTCCCCACCCGCTGTCCCGGCACCACGCCTTCTGCTTCAGAGGTACCTTCCCCCTCGCAGGGCGTGCAGCCCAGTCCCCCTGGGGAAGGGCCTTTCACCAGGGAGGCTGGGCACATCACAGTGCCAGTCGGGGTGAGGCGCTTCGCTGCTGTCTTGCACTATGAATTTCTGGAAACCTTTGTCCAATGCCTTTTTGTTCCAGCTCTGCCACCTGTGGAGGAGGAGGGGGTCACCTCATTCTTTGATGACGTGCTGGCAACCCAAGTGATTCCTGGAGTGGAGGGGGTGCCCTCTGGGGAGGAGGTGACCGTGGAGACGGAGTTTGCCACTCAAGCTGAGAATCAGACAGCCTGGGGGACAGAGGTCTTTCCAACCGACGTGTCGCTGCTCTCAGGTGGGTCAGAGCTTTCCCATCTCCTGGGTCTCACTTGGCTGGTGTTGTAGGGTTGGAAGACTCCCAGAATAACTGTGCTGTGTCCTTGCTGAGGGAGACTCCCTCTAAGTCTAGACAGTTACCACCATATTAACAAAGGCTGAGGCTGTGCACACAGGAGGAGCTACACGTGTATATTATTGAACATATGTCTGGGACTGAGCTAAATGACCATCAGACCAGCACACGCAGCACTGCCAGAGCACCTTACAAAATACGTTGCTGTGTATCCAGGATGGAGAAGGTAGGCTAGAAGAAGATCCAGGCCATGCCTTCTAAGGAGGACAGAGCTGAAGTGTGTCAGACTAGCACCTTCTCTTCCACATTATCTCCAAGAAAGCAGTAGTTTGGTTTTGGTACCTGGGAATTGGTGTCACTGTTGTCATCATCCCATGTCAGAAGTTTATCTATTCTGTCAGTTTCCCAGAGATATTTAATTTATAGTTGTTTAAGGTACAAAGTTCATTTATAATTTTGAGGTGACCAAATTATTTCTACAAGCACACAGGACTTTATGACCTTATCCCAAAGGTATCAGTCTGGAGGTGAAGTTCAATCAGGAAATTGTTAATAGCTTCTTTAAAACAATTCAGTAAATAATTTTCCTATCTTCCTCTCTTTGTTTGCTCTTTCTTTTCCAGTGAGTCCATCTGCTTTCCCTCCAGCCACCATAATACCAGAAGAAACAAGTACAAACGCTTCTGTCAGCGAAGTGTCGGGGGAGGTGACTGAATCTGGAGAATATCAAGTCAGTGGTGAATCTTCAACATCCGTGTGGGTACCTGGAGTCACAGATTCAAGCAGAGAACCGACTTCTGGAGTTTTTGAACTTAGTGGAGAACACTCAGGGATTGGAGAAAGTGGATTACCATCTGTAGATCTCCATACCAGTGGCTTTCTACCTGGAGAAAGTGGGCTACCCTCAGGGGACGTGAGCGGCATGCCTTCTGGCACTGTTGACATCAGTGGCTTGCCTTCTGGAGAGGAAGGTGTATTGGTGTCTACTTCGAGGATACCAGAAATTAGTGGGATGCCATCTGAAGTGGAAAGCAGTGGGCTGCCCTCTGGATTTAGTGGAGAAATCTCTGGCACGGAGCTAGTCAGTGGCACGTCATCTGGAGAGGAAAGCGGGCTCACCTCGGGATTTCCCACCGTCTCTCTTGTGGATACCACACTGATGGAGGTTGTAACAACAGCTCCAGAACGGCAAGAGGAAGGAAAAGGATCCATTGGAGTCAGCGGTGAAGGAGATCTGTCAGGGTTACCATCCACTGAGTGGGACATCAGTGGTGGAGCCCAAGGGTTACCCTCAGGAGCTGAGCTCAGCGGGGAGCCTTCTGGAGGTCCTGAGCTCAGTGGGGAAGCTTCTGGGGTGCCCGAGCTCAGCGGGGAGCCCTCCGGAGGGCCTGAGCTCAGCGGCTTGCCCTCAGGACTGGATGTCAGTGGAGAACCGTCTGGAACACGTGAGACCAGTGGGCTGGTGGACCTAAGTGGCTTTATGTCTGGCATCGATGGAAGCGGTGAGGCCTCAGGGATTGTCTTTGTAGATACCAGTTTGGAGGAAGTAACAACAACCCCCTCAACTGGGGGAGCAGAAGCAAAGGAGATTTTGGAAATCAGTGGATTACCTTCAGGAGGTGAGGATGTTTCAGGAACGGTGTCTGGGAGTTTAGACATCAGTGGTGAGCCTTCTGGGCACATAGACTTTGGTGGGAGTGCTTCTGGAGTGCTTGAGATGAGTGGACATTCGAGTGGAGTGATTGACAGCAGTGGAGAAGTCTCTGGAGCTGATGTCACCAGTGGCCTACTGTCTGGAGAGGAAAGTGGACTCACCTCTGGCTTTCCCACAGTCTCTCTTGTGGATACCACCTTGGTGGAGGTTGTGACACAGACATCGGTTGCACAAGAGGTGGGAGAGGGGCCATCTGGGATGATAGAAATCAGTGGGTTTCCTTCTGGAGACAGAGGACTATCTGGAGAAGGGTCTGGAGCTGTGGAGACCAGTGGATTTCCTTCAGGGACAGGAGACTTCAGTGGAGAGCCATCTGGGAGCCTGTACACCAGTGGAGACATTTCTGGAGCCACAGACCTAAGCGGACAAACTTCAACAGTGGCTGATATCAGTGGAGAGACCTCAGGGCTCCCAGAAGTCACTTTAGTCACTTCTGATTTAGTAGAAGTTGTGACAAGACCAACAGTATCACAGGAACTGGGTGGGGAAACAGCTGTCACATATCCCTACAGTTTTGGGCCAAGTGGTGAGGCCTCAGCATCTGGTGAACTAAGTGGGGAAACATCTGCATTGCCAGAAAGTGGTATAGAAACATCAACAGCTTGTGAAATCAGTGGTGAAACATCTGCATTTCCTGAAACTAGCACAGAAACATCCACAATTCAAGAAGTGAGTGGGGAAACATCTGCATTTCCTGAAACTAGTGTAGAAACATCCACAATTCATGAAATCAGTGGGGATGCCTCTGCATTTCCTGAATTTAGCATAGAAACATCCACAAGTCAAGAAGCCAGGGGTGAAACATCTGGCTATCCTGAAATGATCATAGAAACATCTACAGATCAAGAAGTAAGTGGGGAAACCTCTGTGTTTCCTGAAAGCAGCACAGAAACATCCACAATACAAGAAATCAGTGGGGAAACATCTGCATTTCCTGAAATTAGAATAGAAACGTCCACAAGTCAAGACATCAGTGGGGAAACATCTGCATTTCCTGAAATTAGAATAGAAACATTCACAAGTCAAGAGGCGAGGGGTGAAACATCTGGATACCCTGAAATTACCATAGAAGCATCCACGGTCCATGAAACCAGTGGAGAAACATCTGCATTCCCTGAAATCAGCATAGAAACTTCCACAGTCCATGAAATCAGTGGTGAAACATCTGCATTCCCTGAAATTAGCATAGAAACTTCCACAGTCCATGAATTTAGTGGAGAAAGTTCTGTGTTTCCTGAAATTAGAATAGAAACATCCACAAGTCAAGAAGCCAGGGGTGAAACATCTGGATACCCTGAAATTAGCATAGAAACATCCACAGTCCATGAAACAAGCGGGGAAACATCTGCATTCCCTGAAATCACCATAGAAACTTCCACAGTCCACGAAATCAGTGGGGAAACATCTGCATTCCCCGAAATCAGAATAGAAACATCCACAAGTCAAGAAGCCCGAGGTGAAACGTCTGCATTTCCTGAAATCAGCATAGAAACTTCTACAGCCCATGAAATAAGTGGAGAAACATCTGCCTTCCCTGAGATTAGGATAGAAACACCAACAAGTCAAGAAGCCAGGGGCGAAACATCTGCTTATCCCAAAATTAGCATAGAAACATCCACGGTTCAAGAAGTAAGTGGGGAAACCTCTGCATTTCCTGAAATCAGAATAGAAACCTCCACCAGCCAAGAAGCCCAGGGTGAGACATCTGCATTTCCTGAGACTGCCACAGAAACATCCACAGTTCACTCCACCCGTGGAGAGGCATCTGTATTGCCTGCTGCTGACATCAAAACAGCTGCCACATCTTTGGCCACTGGTGAGCTCTCTGGTGTTCCTGAGAAGGAAACTCCTGACGCAACATCTGGAGCTGTGACACACTCCATCGCAGGCATTTCAAGGGAAACCTCTGTCCCAGACGTTGTAATTGGTACCAGTACTCCAGATGTTGAACCAACACGGGGACCCAGGAACCCTGAAGAGGCTCAGCTCGAAATAGAGCCCTCCTCTCCCACGGTGTGGGGACAAGAGACGGAGACAGCTGTTGTTCTAGACAATCCCCATCTGCTGGCCACCGCTACTGCTGCCCTGCCTCAAGCTTCACAAGAAGCAATAGATGCATTAGGACCCACTACAGAAGGTACAATGTCTTCTCCTTGTATGGAAGGGAACTCACTATGGAAGGGAAGGGAGGGGGGATAGCTGTTCTTTTTTTTTTTGCTGTTTCTACAGCAGAGAAAATTGACGTGGAAGCAGATGAGAACATTATTGTGGTAGGAAGCCATAAGCATGTGGGGGTTTTCACAGGTCATTTTCAATAGCATCTGTCTTAACAAATGATCGTTGGTGTTTGGGCAGGTAATGCAGTTATCCAGCCACTATAACTGCACCCCAGAAGCCTCCAGGACTTCACTGATGCCTGCCCATGGCAATGACATGCCCCTGGGGAGAGCAGCTGAGGATCAGTTCAAGGGAAGCACCAGAAGATGCATATCTGGTCTTCCCCCACTGCACCACTGCAGAAGGTGCTTCTCTGAATTGTTCTTGGTGGGCATGGCTGCACCCCAGTCATGATGAGCAGCCCAGTGGGGTTGGCACCTGCTAGGAACATGACAGAGGCATCGTCTCTTGTGACCTCTGGAGTACCCAGGCCATCACTCTGCTCACCCTCTGTGGCTGCTGGAGGTGGGAGCTTGAAAAAGAGTATTCTGGGAATGGTCACTGAGAGCCACTGCAGCCAGGTCCCTGGGTGTGATACAGCTGGGGAAAACCCCAGGGCATTCACATCCCCTCTGAAATTGCTCTAATCCATTGCTATAATCTAGAGAAAACAACATTTTTTTTTCTTCTCACACGGAAACAAGAGCAAGGGCAGCTCCACTTGGCAGAGACTTCCTCTCTGGCTAGTGGATGCACCTGAGAATTTGGATAAGATGGGCTGCAATTCTCTGTCCTGTTTGGTTTGTCTTTCTGTGCTGTGTTGACTTGCTGCCTGCGTCCCCCAGCGTTTCATAGCACTCGTTCTGGAGCAGGAGGTTTGCCATCAGCAGCTCTGCAGTGCCAAAGGAGAAGAGGCAAAGCAAGGCAGCTGGGGACAAAGCTCACTGCTCCCAGCATCATCTGCACCCATGTTTGCATGGGGCAAGCTGCTCTGATCCCTCTGGCACAGAGGTGGCTGCCCTCTGCTCTCTGCAGCTAGAATGGGCACCACTACCTTTTGTCAGCCCTTCTGATAAATGCCTTCCCTTCCGCCCTGCCCTCTTTTGGCATTTTAGCACTCTGTCTTGGGTAGGAGCCCTTGCTGCCAAGTATAAATAGACACAATATTTAAATCTGAGTAACCATTTATGGTGAAAATCCTCTGCTGGCTCTCTGTCGAGCATCCCCCAAGCAGCATTCACATGCCATGGAGGCATGAGGACACTGCAGTGAGAAGAAAATGAGATGAGACATGGTTGTGCTTGCTGGTGGCTGCCTCTTGGCCAAGGGAGGAGCCCAGTCCCAGTAACACAGGATCTCCTGCGACATTCCTGGCCGTGGTCATTCCTTGCTACAGTCAGGAGCAGGCTCCTGGGGACAGGCCCTGTTTGAAAACCCTCAATGGTTGTGCTGTTGTATGAAGGTGTCCTACATATGCTCAGTTCTCAATGGGCCACATGTTGAGGTAGGACATAACGCTTAATTATGGTACAAAATGTATGTGCGAAGAAATTTGCTCAGTTCCTCCTAGCAAAAGTAATATTACTTCCACCCCCTTCCCACCTTACCACCTGAGCTGCTTCTTTTGGGGCTAATTCACACCATTCAGTGTCGGTTGCGTCAGACTCAGTAAGGGTCTGTAAGTGCAGGGCTTTGTGAAGCTCAGCCTGGTTTCTATCATTTCCATCCCCAAAGTGTTTCAAATGAGTCACTACATTTCCTTCTGCTTCACTTCTCTGCCTCTCAGAAAACAGGCAATCACAAACCTTTGTTCAGTCCTGTTCATAACACATTGAGGTCCTCTCTGTCTGGGCACAGGAGTGGGTGAGAGCACGTCAGCTGGGTCATTCCCACCACACCACTCCAGCCTGGCACGGCATCCAGGGCTTGGCAGGGTGCTGCAGGAGTCATGCACCCCAACGCCTTCCTTGCACACCTACCGAGCTCTGCTTTTGGGCCATACCCACTGCCACATCCCAGCTTGGAGGCAAAAACAACCCAGGAAAGGGAGGGCTGAGGGAAAGGAAGCAGAGCAGCCAGTGGGGCAGGAAAAAAATTAATTGGCCTCAAAATATGGTTTTATTTCACTGCTTTTTCTTTTTATAAATTACCCACAAGGCAATTGCCAGATTCTTTGGAGCATTTGTTAGCCAACATTCTTGTGAAGTATTCTGAAAGAAAACCATGTGTTCGGCAGCTCATGTGTGAAGAAGCTTGAAAAATGTTCTGAAATTGAAATGTTGTGTATTTGCAAGTCACAGAGATGATGATGTAGCAGCTGGGGGCTCTTAGCAAGTAACAGGGAGAGGTAAGGGACAACTGTATGAAGGTCAGTTGTACACTCTTTATAAACTAGAGATGAGCTTCAGTGCACATGTGTCCCTGGTGCTGGCACCAGGGAAGATATTCTAGGGTAAAACTTCTCTTCTTATTGGTAAACTACTTTACTACAGTGTGCCTCTAGGGTTAAATGCAATCTTGATCAGTATCTGAATGAAAATCATCCAGGTGGTAAGAAAGTGTGTTGACCATGAACTTGCAACATCCCTGGAACAAGGTGAACTTTTTCTAGAGAATTAGAGCAAAGTGATGACAAATGAAGAAAGAGAAAATGGAAAAATAGTCACAGATCTCCTTTTTTGGGTCGCTACTCTTTACAGGGCTCTGGGGATTGTGAACATGGAAAGCCTACAAGAAGGAACATAGGCTGGAAACCAAAATGCTGTTTCCTGTGTTGCAGCTGCCTTTTTACCCAAAGCTTCACGTTCTTGAAATCTAGCTTTTGCAAAAAGATCAGCTCTAATATCTGTGTCTTGTGCTGTGCTCAGAGTTTCTAGGATATAATGGAAGCCCACTAAGTGCAAATAATTTTGGCTACCATTAAAGCATGGGTGAAGCTAATTCAGATTACAGAAGGAGCTTAGAGTGAGGAACACGGAGGCATGCAGCTGTTGTCCTCTTCTCCTGTCATTGAAGGATTCCAGTTATATCCAGCCATCTTTTTAGTGGCATGATTTGAGAATAGTGATATTTTTCTGCTCTGCTCTAGCCTCTCCTTCTCTCTAAAAGCTAGAGCCAGAAGCACAAGAAGACTGAAGATTAACGCTTGGAGTGCCAGTATTTTTTAGTGTTTAGCCAAATTGAAGGCTACACATGCACAAGTCTTTAGTCAGCAGTTTGATTCTTCAGTGAGGACAGGAACCCCACAAGCTTGAAGAATTGTCCATAGGCTTGGCTTCTTCACCCAGAGTTTTGCCAGCTCAGCGGGTCTTTCGCTTCTGGTAACATTTGAAGACAAATAATTATTAGCTGAAAAAAGCACTCTGGCACTTCAATGAAAGGCTGTGGTTTGGAGCACTCTGGCCAGTCAATGACTTAAAAACTTCACTCAAGCTGGGGGGAAAATGAGAAATGTGATGAAATGGCAGCTATTTATGTTAAGTTTTGCTAGCCTCTGGTGAAACAACTTCATGAAGCCTGCTGCCTATGGTCCTGACACAGCTGAAGGTTAGAACCCAAATGAGGAAAGGCCTTGATGGGCTTTCCTCATTCTTTTTGCACTAAAGTTCAAGTTTTGTTGGTCCAGAGAAGATCAGCCCAGAAGAAAAAAACTCCAGAAACAGAAAACACTCACCTGATTCATAATGTTTCACATAATGCAGAATGAAAAGTGTGCTCTCAAGGAGATACAGGTACAAGTCCCAACTGAGAGACAAGCAAAGGCACAGACTATCTGTGGCTGACAAGATTTCTCCTGGATATATTGTCTATTTTTTATCAGAAGTTTCTTTGTTTAATTAAAACCTTTTTCTGAAGAGGCAACCTACAGTGTGCACTAGTGTTATAGACAAGTCAGTTTACACATGATATTTTGTAGGCAGAGATGTCCAAGTGTCCTGAGACTGTTGGATAAATCAAAGGTCTCAGCAGATCAACAGGTCCTCCTGGAAACCTACTGTTCTCTAAATAACTATATCTTTTTAAAGCTGTAGCAACATCTGCCCCTTCTCCTGCATGGAGGCTTTGGTTTAATTATTGCAGTTAATTATTTTAATGGCTTAATTGCACATCATACATCACTAGCTGACTGTACAATGTTTGATGCTAGCATTTTACTTAAAATGTAAGAGAACTTTTTTCTCCTATTCCTTCTTTTCTTGTAGGAGTCACCCTACAATTGCTCCAATGTTTTTCTTACTGTCTGAACTATTAGACTGGCACTTCAAACTTCCCAGGAGTCTCTTGAAAGAAAAACTAATTTGTACCTGGATTTTTTTTTCCTCAATATCTACTATATAATTATCTAGCTGGTCTCTGAGTCCCTGTTTGGATAATTGCATTTACAAGGAGGCCTGTAAAGAAAGGATGAGGGGCAAAACAGGGACTGTTGGACATCCTGAACATGCCTTGCTTTTCTGCCTTACCTTTTCCTCTCTGCAGAACAAAACCAGGTCTTTAAATTCTAGGGTATATTCCTAAACTGGTTGCTCACAGCTCCAGGAGAACTGTACAGTTTGTATGGGGTTTGGGTGGTTGCATCCACTCTGTTCACAATCTGCTTCTCCTCAGCAGATGTTTTAAGCACAAAGCTGACCTTGTTTAATGGGTGTTCTTGCTTGTTTTCCACACAGGCTGCCATTAAGAGAAATGCACAGATTGTATTGTTTTAAAAAGTGTTCACACTGCTGCTAGTATTGTCTTCTTAGCTTGGGAGGCAGGATTTTAAAAGCATTTCCTTCTCACCACTGACACTGTGTGTTCACTTTTGCCTGCCATTTGCTTTCTGAGCAAAACCAGCACCAACCCCTTTCTCTTTTATTTCTAAAGGATTTCTCTTTGAATTTCCATGATCTAGTACAGCAAATTGGTTTTGAAGGCATTGGGAGAATACTTATGTTGCGTTTAGTTGCACCAAAAAAAGTAGTGCTGGCTAAATATATTATGTAACTGGCAAAGTAAAAGAAATCTTAGGAAGAAAATGGTGAAACAAATTCTAAGTTTGCATTGCAGCTGTGTAACTCCCCTGGCTTTCTGCAGCCAACAGTTTACATCTTCCAGATGCAAAACTCTGTTTACATTGGATATTTTGTTTTAATTCTTGTATTTAAAAAAAAAAAAGAAAAAAAAAAGAAGAAGAAGAAAAATCTAGACATTAGACCTTGGGTCCTGTCAGTGACAAAAAATAGAAACTGTTGTGATGACAGATTTGAATAATCTTTTGTAATTTCTGGCCAATATTAGCTGCAGTATGAATCGTCTTCTAAAGAGCTAATAATTTTGCATTATCCTCAAGAGGTGAGTTAATAATAAGTTCTAAATGGGCTTCCTATTCTTGGCACGGGAATATTCAAGGCATTTTCTGCCCTGTTTTAACTCTGAGGCTCTGGAAGGTGAGGGCTGCCTCTGTTCTGCATCCCATGGCACACCGCTTGTCCTTTTTTCGTGCCGGGTAGCAACAGCAGCGGTCGTGTCTTCTTGTTGGTTGGTAAGCATCTGAGCTGCATCTCAAAGCAGAGCTGCCTTTCTGAATGACTGCTCACCCAAGCAAATAAAGAGCTGACATCTGTGTAAGATCCCTGAGTGTCAAGGCAGCCAGCAGCCGGTGCTGTGGCCACGGGTGGTCGCTCCATGCTGAGCAGAGCTGGCACACCCTCCAGGCCACAGGCTCCTCAGCTGCCTGGAGAGGGGTACAGTGATTTACTGACCTCATCAGGCTCTGAGCTCTGGGGAAGTGGGCACACTCACGGGATATAAAAACTTACAAATAAAATAGCCAAGCTTTGCATGACAGATGGGAATTTTTATTATTTTTTTTTTTACTGGAGCTCTCACATCCCATAAATCCTATGGCTTAGAGACAATATCCTAGGGGCACCCACAAAACGACTTGCCAGGGTTCTCAGAGGCAACATCAGTGTCAACTGTACCATTTGGAACTTACTTTTCTAAAAGACCTCCAAAACCCTGTTTTTCTGGGAGGACCGGAATCAGCAACGCTTCTTCCAACCCAGTGGATTTTTGAGTTTCCTGAGACCAGCTTGGTGAGGTGATTCTCCATCCAAAATGGAGACAGGATCAGTGCCCTAACAGCTCAAAGGGCTGAAGGGGGAGTTTGATATTTGTGATCATCATGTTTAAAACATGCTCTCTCCAGCTGTTTGTAGCACACTTTGGGGAAGAAAACCTGTCTGTGTCTCACTTGTGTTTGTTGTCTGTTTTTTCAATGCTACCTACAAGTTCACACCCTTTCTCTGTGTGTCATGTATAAAAATATGTATATGTATGGAGAGATACATAACATATATATTGTTTGCAGAGATTTGTTTTTACAGCATATATAATATGTGCAATCATATTATATACGATCTCTGTAAAAGGAAACTCTGCTCCAGTGTTATTTCCCAGCTGGGAATTTGTGTCAATGCCTTTCCATGCGTGTGTCAGCTCCCTCCTACTGCACGATCTGGGATGGCAACTCTCAGAATCTCCTGCATCTCAGAAGAGATCTTGGACATACCAAATTTTAGTCCACAAGGCCGAAGACAGCTGAAGACTCGTTACTCCCTGCTAAATGTTCTGATTTAGCTCTCATATGTGCTTTGTTCCCACTTCTGCAGTGTGCTTTCCACTCTGTAGAGCTGGATGGATAAAGGAGAACCTTTCCTCACTTGAGCCCACTGGAATCAACACAAACTTCTGTTGCCACTGCTGTTGAGAAGCCCAAGGGGCCTCTAGACTTGTAACCATCCCTCAGGACACCTCATTTTCCTTTATGCTATCTTCTAGGACCTCCAAGTAAGACTAATAAGCAATAGTCAGCCAAGTTCTTCTACTAGGCCTGTGACCCCTATTTTGTTCTGGAAAGTCTCGAAGTATTTATTAGTGTCATGGAAACAGGAATTCTCTTCATGTAACAGTGAACAAAGAAATCCAGAAAGCATTCATGAGTACTTAGAAGGGCAATCCAGAGGAAAAAAATCCTTCTGCCAGAGAAGAACTGCAAAACTGGAGTGAGAGGTTCATCAGCCATCTGAGGAATGATTGCATTGCTCGCAGTGATACAGCCTAGAATAAAGATTACAATCTTCATGCTCCAAAGCAGGAACTGATTTACCATCCGAGGTCAGAAAGAAATTTCGTCACCACCATGTTACAGAACACATCAACTTTTAGATGACCTATCAGACTGTGGCCACTGAGTGACGAGACAGCCACGTGGGGTATGGTTTTCTATGAGAAGCTGGGCCACAGTTCTGCAGGGAGACAATATCCAACCAAATATACTCCAGTTAGAAGATGAACACAGATCTTGGGGAGTCGCTTGTTCTGCCCTGCTCTGGTGTTTCCATAGCCAACACGCTAATCATCTTTGAATGTTTTCTCACTAACCCCTCTCGTCCACCAGAAGAGCATGGAGTGTTAGTCAGCACTTTCAAAGCCTTACATTCCTTCTGAGTGTGAAAGAGAAACGTTGTCTCGCACGAGGATCTAACCAGTCATCACTTAACCTAACCTGCAAGGATGTGCTCCCACTTTCTTCCCTAGTCTTCCTCCTTGTTTCTGGATTGAACGTCTCTGAATCTTTCCATTCTGAATGACTCTTCTTCTGATTCCAAAGCTCAATAAGTAGAACTAAGGCTCAGTTTGGAGAGGTACTGGGAGAAGAGCTTTTGCTTCCAGCACTCGCTGGATTTTACGATATATCGATACAAAGTGGCTCCCTATGGCCTTTTTCAGAGCCTCTATGCTTCCCTCCTTCTGTCCCAAGATGGCAGGGGACAGAGGTGCTACCAAATGGTGGCCTTTACCTACCCAGGCTTGTGCTAATTAGCAAGCTGAAAAACATTGGAGAGTTTGTGGGCCAAACTCTTCCCATACTGACTTCTCTTTTCACCTTCAGAAAAGCAAAAAGGATCTTAAGGGCTGTTCTATCTAGATGGGAAACTAAGATTAGTTTCCTCCACCAAGATGGAATCCACAACTGGAAAAGACATACCAGCTTCTTCCATCCTCATCACAAGTAAGATAGTGCATAGTGGGGACAGTTCTGGAGAAAATGGCACTGCACTCCAGTATTCTTCACCAAGGAAGAGGCATCCATAGCTAGGCGTAAGATCTTCAAAAGTAGAAAGCTGAGGGTCTCTGAACCATCTTTGAATGCACTTCTTTTCTCCTCTAAGCTTTCTTCATCTTCACTGAGATTTCTTGCCTCAGAATTTAATTAAATTATGGTTAGGAGGAAGCTAGTAGCAAACACTGTCAACAAGGAATGACAGTTAGGAGATAGAGATCTATTTCAGGATGTTTCCTTCACTTGTGAGAAATCCACGTTCTTCCTTGTAGACCCATAGCTGGTGGAGACAGACACAAGTTTGCATGTTCGATGCATCAGGCAGAGAGAGCAGACAAGGAATAATTACCACAGCTGTCAAAGACACTGAGTGGTGTGTACTGGATACATCGTGCTGAGCTTGCACTGATACCTTCTGAGTGGTGTTCGACCATCAAGTGACAGAAAACCAATGTCTTCCTTGTAGGGTGGGTTAGGTCACTTGCCTTCATTCTTCCAGCAGCAGCAGTGGCAGCATGTGTTAAAATAAAACCCTAGCAACTTCCAAGTGCCCCCAAAACAACAGCTACTCCCTTCTAAACAAGCAAGAAAACAAGTTCTCCTGTCGGTGGAGTTGTCTGCCCAGAGCCCTAATGGAAGCCCTTGATTTCTTGCAGACACTGATGAGTGCCACTCAAGCCCCTGTCTGAATGGAGCTACCTGCGTTGATGGCATCGACTCTTTCAAATGCTTATGCCTTCCCAGCTACGGAGGGGACCTGTGTGAGATCGGTACGGCCTACCTGGCTTCAGCTAATCTTACTAACTGCTGCACTACCTTCTCCCCACCCTTCCCCTCAAAAAAGCTCACCCCAAGTGCTGCCATCAGTCCTGCCCTCATCTCAATAACCTAACCCCTAACAGCGGCTTAAAACACACTAGGGAAAAGCTTTGAGACTTTTGCTTGCGTATTCTGATTAGTTTGTTCATCACAGCACCGTGTCCTTCCTCCTAAGCAGGAGCTTCTAGTACCTTCTTCAGCTTTCTTTAAGTTTCTCTAGTGAAGCTCCATACAGGTCATAACAATGTTGATCACAGAAGTCGCTGTCTCTTTGGCTCAAGAGTCTTTCTGTTCATCTGTAACAGTAGGGAAACATCTTGACTACATCTTCACCCCAGGCAAACTTTCTCTGCTAGACTGGAGTTTCATGGAAAGATGTTTCAACTGAGCCATGAAAAAATATTGTGTTTCTTTCTGTGAAGATGCTGCTGAGAGAAGCCTCGTTCACTCCAGGAATCTCCACCAATGTGACACAGAGTGACTTTTTTGCCATCTCTTCAACATGGCTTCCTGTGGCAAAATCAGCAGGGAATGTGTATCTTTGAGCAAACGTGAGGTGACCTATTTTGTCATCAAAATTAGGTACCCTGACCTGCACTAATACTTCTCTTTGTTTCTATAAGGAAAGAAAAAGAGTTGTGGTTTTTTTCTTAAAGCTGAACAAAGTCCAAAGCTTTATGAGCTTAGCTGAGGGGAAGCTTTCCTGCCTTGGTCAAACAAAAGAGAAATAAGATTGTGCTGTTTTCACTTCAGCACAAGTAATAGTAACATATATCAGATTTTCTCCTCCCCTTTCTCTGCATCTCTGTTTCTGCTTCCAATACAAACATATGGAGTAGACCAGAAGAAGGTGGCTCAGGATCATTGAAGTGTCTGGGCAGGAATTGTACAGTCTTAACATCCCTTTCCTAATGCAGCCTGATCAGCTCTTTGTTGCAGTGCACCTCCTGGAGACAGAGGTTTCTGTTGCCTCTTTGTCCCCAGACAGGGGCGCACATCCAGAATTTTCCACCTTTCCCAGGTTGTGGTTGGTTTAGCCACCACAAGACCAATGCCCTAACACCCACTGGACCCCTGACCTGTAGGTAACCCATCCAGGTGTCCTTACAGGACAATGCCTTTGTAAACCCACCTACCAACCTGTTAAAAACCCCTGGCCCCAAGGCCACATGCTCTTTCACTTCTCCCCCTGGGGTGGGTGCTGTTTCAGTGCCTGCCTCAGGTGTTTTTGTTTGTTATTTTCATGTTATTAAAACCTTTTATTTTGGAAGAAAGCGATCGTTGCCCATCCCTCCTTTACCTGCCACTGCCCTCCTCTTCGCCGACGACCACCCTGGAGGTCCTGCTGGGGTCCTGCTGGGGGTGTTTTCTTCCCAGGCAAAACCAGTGGGTTTAAAACCCTCTGTGAAGTATATTTTTGCATAGTAATAGCTCTTGATTTACCCATCCCTGCTACCTGCTGTTGAACACCTCTGTTTTTTTCTTCTACCCTGTGGCTGCTTACGATCCTGTTTGGTCCAAGCCAGAATGGATTTCCCCTCTTCTCTGATTTCTGGGCTCGTGATGCCTCAGGGCCATAGCCTGGGAGATGCAAGAGGAAGCCAGCACCCCAAACCCTGTGGAAAATGTAAATCTTCATTATTCCCATGAGGCAGACCCTCCTTTCTGTTGGTCTCCAAGAACAGCAGGATACCATAGGTGCTGTCTGTGCACATTGTCAGTCCTTCTTGTTACCACGACAGTGTCCCTACCAGGGAACAATATTTTCATCATTCTTTTCCAAGAAGATTGCTGTCTGTCCTGGTTTAAGCAAGAACAGCTATGTAGGAACAGTGACCTTTCTCCTAGAAAATGTCCTGCTGAGGTTCTGTGCCATGTGCTGTCCCATACTCAGGCTGTGATGACAAGGAGTGGTGCTCAAGCTGCTGGAAAGAAGTCTTAAATTTCAAAAGACAGAGCATGTTCTCTGCTTACCTTGTGCAAGTGATCTCCCTGCAAAGACCATGAATCCTTAGAGCTTCAATCCATTTGACTGGCTGAAGAAAGCAGAAAATGTTTTTAATGCTTCAGCTAACTACTAATTCTTCCAACATCTATAAGGCTTCTGCAATCCAGCTGGAAGAAAACCAGAAGTGTGGATTAGGAGCAATTTGTGTGATTGAAGGTGACAAGCGCTTTGGCACACCAAGTTTAAAAAAGAAGAAAGAAACTGAGTGCAGAAAAACTTACTGGAAAGGGAGAGAGGCATGAGGACTCCTGAAAGCCCTCCAAGAGCAGCAAGTGCCTGAGAAAGGGTGGTAGATCAGCCATCTGGAAGGCTGGGATTAAACACATTTCATTTTCTGTGTCCTTTGGTCACATGGAGCAGTTGTATGGTGTTGCATTGCACAAGAGCTGGTCTTTTCTGGTGGTTTCACCATTGGCCTCTGGTCCCCGCCCCAGCCATGGTTTCATGGGGGTTTTTTTTAATTAAAGGTTTCAACTCTTGAGTGTTTCTTAGATGGTAAAAAAATGTCCTGAAAACTTGAAAACTTTTTGTACTTCTTTAGGAGCTTCCAAGCTTTCTTCTTGAGATTTCTTTTTCTCTCTCTACCATGGTAAGTTCCTGCCTCCATCTCTTTTCTCCCATCTTGGTGGACTTGTTTCTCCTCCAGATACCCATAACCACAGCAAGCAACGCAACCACTTGAACCTGGGCCCTCCTCCCCTCTTTCATTTTCAATGCCTATGTCTTGATTCTGGGCATCTGGATTCAGGATTTAGAGTTTCTTTCCAAAGCAAGAAAACTCTGCAGGCCAGCAGGAGTGGGAAGACAGGTGTTCTTGCTTGATTAGTTCCTCAAAAACAGAGTCATGATACAGAGATTGAATTGCTCATAAATAAGTTTATATCACTCAAGTTTTCTAGCAGCGCTGGTCACATCACTGCAAACACAGGATCTTCAACACAGGATCCCCTCTCTGCGTATGTCTTGGATGCCTTCTGACAATTTTCACTGGGATTTCCCACAGATCAGGGTTTGCATTTTAGTGGAAGTGACCATGTGTTGTCCCATGCCATGAGAAAACGAGCTGCTAAGAGGTGAGTCAGAAGCCTTCCAGACTCAGGTACCAACTTCTTTTCATCCCTCCTTTGTGTGTTTCAGATTTGGAAAACTGTGAGGAAGGATGGACCAAGTTCCAGGGCCACTGCTACAGGCACTTTGAAGAGAGGGAGACTTGGATGGATGCAGAGAACAGATGCCGACAACATCAAGCCCACCTGAGCAGTATCATCACCCCAGAGGAGCAAGAATTCGTGAACAGTGAGTGCTGAGGGCAGTCTGTGCAGGACCCCATCTGCTGGGCTCTGAGTCTATGGGCAGATTTATTCAAAATGACATAAAACCCACAATTTCCCTCACCAGTGCTCAGACATTTCCTAATGGAAAATAATGGGTTGATCCATGCTCATGGCATGCTGAGTTGGGAGTTGGGAGGGAGGTGGACAAGCAAGATGCAGGGGGAAAAAGGATATCAGGGGGTAGTGACTGGGAAGGAGCCAAATGACTCAGAGGCTCCAGGGCCAGAGATGGCTGAGACAGCAAAGAAATGCTTCCAGCAAGGCGTACTGGGACCATGACCCACTCTTCTCTCCTCCTCTGGCTCTCCCAGGCCACGCACAGGACTACCAGTGGATCGGCCTCAGTGACAGAGCCGTGGAGAACGACTTCCGCTGGTCCGACGGGCACCCCCTGGTGAGCCTGTGGGCACTGCCTCTCGGGGGGAAAGGGACTCCCTGGGGTGGGCACAGCCCCGTAAATTATATGCTGAGTGCTTGGCCTTGGCCACTGAGTGAAGGCAGCCCTAAGCTTTGCAGGGCTCATGGTTTTTCCAAGCCTCTAGTAAAGCTGGTCAGCGAGGCTCCCGGGCACCATCGCAGCAGAAATAACTGCTGTAGCAGTAGTGCTGGCAACCCCTGCTCCCTTCTGGTGAGGTGCATGGGCGAGGCAGCAGCGAGGATGAAGAAGAGAGGAGGAGAAGGGAGGGCTCAGCCTTACACGAGGGGCTTTCTTCTCTTGGCAGCAACTCGAGAACTGGCGGCCCAACCAGCCCGATAACTTCTTCACGGCGGGCGAGGACTGTGTTGTGATGATCTGGCACGAGCGAGGCGAATGGAACGATGTTCCCTGCAACTATCACCTCCCTTTCACCTGCAAGAAAGGAACAGGTCAGCACCCTGTGCCACTCCAGCAGGGACGGGGGGCTCAGGCAGCAGCGGTGGGGCTGGAGTGGAGCCCACAGTGCATGTGAACAAGGGTTTTGTCACTGCAAAGGGTGGTCAAAGAGGTGGAAGGAGTTAGCAATAGAGGTTGCCCAAGGGCTTTCCAGGAGGCAGGAATGGAGCCCTGAGGCAGAAGCTGCTGCTGAATTTCAAGGCCCATCACAGAATTTTCATCTCCCCCTGCCCCTAAATTTTGTGGACTGAGGCAGGGGCTACTTGGGGGTGAGCTGCTCAGGTGTGAGCTGCCCTCTCAGCCAGGCAGGACTCTTGAAGCTCTCCATCTCTCTGCCTCCCTCCTGCAGTGGCCTGCGGGGACCCCCCTGTGGTGGAGAACGCCAGGACCTTTGGTCGGAAGAAGGACCGCTATGAAATCAACTCCATGGTGCGGTACCAGTGCAACCAAGGTTACATCCAGCGCCACGTGCCCACGATCCGCTGCCAGCCCAACGGGCAGTGGGAGGAGCCACGGATATCCTGCACAAACCGTACGTCCGCCCCTCGCCCCTCAAACGAGGGCTGGTGCACCCTGCAGCTGGGAGAAGGAGCTGGGAACGAGGGGGGCATCGTCTTAGGGGACAGATTAGCTCTCTGCCAGAAGGGGACATCCTGATCCCCTGGACTTGTTGAAAGCTCCCCCATGATGTGGCCATGGGAGCTGGTGTCTGGGCAGGTGTGGACCACAGGGGCTGTCTGGAGGGGCAATTCCTGCTCTGTGGGGCCTTCCACCTAGGCAGGGTAGGGGCAGCTGCAGAGCCAGGAAAGGGTAGCAAGGAGCTTACCAAGGGCCCAGGCAACGCATAGAAAGGGGAAAAAAATAAAAAAAGCTTCTAAAAGGGTGAGCTTTGGCACTACCAGTATCAGCAGAGAGAATAAGAGGAGGAGCTGTGGTCGCCCTGAGCCCATCCTTGGCATTCCTCTGCTCTGGGAACGGACAGAAGCCCTGTGGCAGAGATAAGCCAAGGAATGGGGCTGGGCTCCTGACACTTCTCCAGCTGAAGGCCTCCAGCCCTCTCCCACTGGTGGCCCAGCCCACTCTCATCCCTGCCTACACCCCTGTCCCATCCCTGCTTGCCTTCAGCTTCCCAATAATTTCATCGGCTTCAACCAAGTCACATCTGTCCAGTGGCCTCCTTGCCAGGTTCTGGTCCAGCTGGGCAATTCCAGCTAAAGCAACAGTCCCGCAGCCAGGGAATGTTGATATGAGCTGACGGGACAAACCTCCACCCCAGAGAGGAGGTGGAAGGAGGAGGAATGGAGGAGGTGTCCAAGAGCAGCCATGAAGTGCAGACCAAGCCACTGATTCTCTTGGCTCTGCCGTGCACCCAGAGAGCTGCAGGCTGCTCCCAGCATGGACCACCAGTGATCGAGAGACATAGGCTGTTCCCAGACAGCTTTTGCTGCTTCTATCAAAACCCTCCTGCAATTAGCACACCGGAGCAGTACCAGCTTCCAGGGAGACTGGCAGCAAAGATCAGGCAGAAACCTTCTCCCTGCCAGCCAGATGGGACCGTTTCCCCTCCCGTGCCCTGAGCACATCCCACCACTGATGGATATTTCCCTCCCCATCCCAGGGGACCGGGGGGGGGACTGGGACGGCAGCAGGCGAGATGGGGACGTGGTCCCTACGCCCACCCCATTCACAGAGCTGCCCTCCCAGACGGGCACAGGGAAGGGACAGGATGAGCACCTACAGAGACAACATTCCTGCCTAGGCTCCCCGTAGGCACGGGGCACCTTCATCCCTGGGAGACGCAAACCCCAGATGCAGAAGTGAGAGAAGGGCCCATTGTGCGTGGGCAGGCAGGCTGGCGCCGGGGCCCGTGTTTGCCCAGGGAGCCAGGGGACGGGACAAGCGGTGTCTCTGTCCCAGCTCCCGCTAACAAGGTGCCTTTTCTTCCCCTCCCTCTTCCACAGCCTCCAACTACCAGCGCAGGCTATACAAGAGGAGCCCCAGGAGCCGGTCGAGACCCAGCGGCAGAGCCGTGCACAGACCCACCCATTAGAGCGGGGCGAGGGAGACCACGGGGGAAAGCGAGAAAGAGAGAGTTTTAATGGAACAGTTATATTAACAGAGGCAATTTCTTCTTCTTCTTGTTGCTTTTTTTTGTCATATAAGGAAAAAAAAAAATTATATTAAAGACAAACCCACCTTTGTGTATATATATAAAAAAGAAATTAATGTTTTTTTTCAAGCACCAAAGCAAAGCAAATTAGATCTCAGCATTTTTACTAACCGTCCGGTTCCAATTATCTTCGTGCCTTCGGGGACAGGGAGGGGGGTGGGTTTGCAGAGGGCAGGGGGTTAAGTTAAATAATAAAGATTAATATTTTTTCCTGATTTTATCCACGAACAATGTAATTATTTCTGTTATTTAATCTCCGAGGTGAACAGCACCTTTTGGGGTTTTTTTTGTTTGGTTTTTTTTTTTTTTCCAGAAGCCTCCTCCCGCTGCAGCGTGTTGGGGCAGGTGGGGAGGGCCGGGCGGCTGTGGTGGAAGGAGCTGTGGGAGAAGGGAGCAGAGGGGATGCTGAGCCCCGGGACCCGGGTGCTGGGGGCTACAGCCTCTCTCTGCTTCCCCACCGCCCACCCTGCGGCTCAGCGCCCGTCCTGGGACGACGTGCTCTTGCCAGGGGACCGTGCGGGGCACCAGCGTTCCCTGCACCTATTTATATTTTTGAACATATCCTATTTTGAAAGAATGATAAATAATAAAGAGAGTGAAATCGGAACGGGCACTTTGTCGCTGTTGGTTTGTTGGGGAAGGGCTACGTGGGCTGGGCCGGGGGGGTTCTGGCTTGG